TTTAATAGGTAATTTTTTCATACTTCATATACCACTAATAAGTGGAGTAACCCATATAAAATCTCAATTATTTTGAGAAATGGAAACATCAAAGGTCTTAAACATCTTTAATATCCATACTATATCAATGCATGATGCAGCTATGTAATAAAACAAAAATATCATATTTTCTTATTTATCTTGAAATATGTGGGCTAACCCCTACGAAAATACTGAATTTTTTTGATAAATGATATCTATAATATTTAATCTCTTTAATGTTATCTAAAAATAAATAATCACACTCTAAATTTATTTATATGTATGGTAAACATATTTTCATGGTAGATGAGCATGATTTCTAATTTTTCAATAAGTAATTTGTTCAAACTTCATATACCATTAATAAGTGGAGTAACCCATATAAAATCTCAATTATTTTGAGAAATGGAAGCATCTAAGGTCTTAAACCTCTTTAATATTCATACTATGTTAATGCATGATGCAACTATGTAATAAAACAAAAATATCGTATTTTCTTATTTATCTTGAAATATGTGGGCTAACCCCTACGAAAATACTAAATATTTTGATAAATGCTATCCATAATATTTAATCTTATAAGTGTTATTTAAAAATAAATACTCACACTCTAAATTTATATATATGTATGGTAAACCTATTTTTATGGTACATGAGCATCATTTCTAATTTTTCAATAAGTAATTTATCAAACTTCATATACCATTAATAAGTGGAGTAACCCAAATAAAATCTCAATTATTTTGAGAAATGGAAACATCTAAGGTATTAAACCTTTTTAATATCCATACTATGTCAATCCATGATGCAGCTATGTAATAAAACAAAAATCATATTTTTTATTTATCTTGAAATCTGTGGACTAACCACCTCCTACAAAAATACTGAATTTTCTAATAAATGCTATCCATAATATTTAATCTTATAAGTGTTATTTAAAAATAAATAATCACAATCTAAATTTATATATATGTATTTCAAACTTATTTTCATGGTAGATGAGCATCATTTCTAATATTTCAAAAAGTAATTTTTTCAAACTTCATATACCACTAATAAGTGGAGTAACCCATATAAAATCTCAATTATTTTGTGAAATGAAAACATCTCTAAGGTCTTAAACCTCTTTAATATCCATACTATGTTACTGCATGATGCACCTATGTAATAAAACAAAAATATCATATTTTCTTATTTATCTTGAAATATGTGGGCTAACCCTACGAAAATACTGAATTTTCTGATAAATGATATCTATTATATTTAATCTCTTTAGTGTTATTTAGAAATAAATAATCACACTCTAAATTTATATATATGTATGGTAAACCTATTTTCATGGTAGTTGAGCATCATTTCTAATTTTTCAATAAGTAATTTATCAAACTTCATATACCATTAATAAGTTGAGTAACCCACATAAAATCTCAATTATTTTGAGAAATGGAAACATCTAAGGTCTTAAACCTCTTTAATATCTATATTTTTCTAATAAATGCACATATTTTTCTAACCCCTACGAAAATTCTGAATTTTTCTGATAAATGCTATCTATAATATTTAATCTCTTAAGTGTTATTTAAAAATAAATAATCATTTAAAAATAAATAATCACAATCTAAATTTATATGTATGTATGATAAACTTATTTTCATTGTAGATGAGCATTATTTCTAATTTTTCAATAAGTAATTTATTCAAACTTCATATACTTTAATAAGTGGAGTAACCCATATAAACTTCCGTCGCGTCGGACTCACCGGACCACACTCCCCGGACACTCCCTGGAGCCGACGCGCTCCCGGCCGAGCTTCTCGGCCGCGCTCCCCCGCAGCGCGCTCCCCGAGCTCCCTAAGCCGTCCGTGCGCTCCCCGAGCCCGCTCCCCGAGCCCGCTCCCCGAGCCCGCTCCCCGAGCCCGCTCCCCGAGCCCGCTCCCCGAGCCGCGCTCCCCGAGCCGCGCTCCCCGAGCCGCGCTCCCCGAGCCGCGCTCCCCGAGCCGCGCTCCCCGAGCCGCGCTCCCCGAGCCGCGCTCCCCGAGCCGCGCTCCCCGAGCCGCGCTCCCCGAGCCGCGCTCCCCGAGCCGCCGCGCTCCCCGAGCCGCGCTCCCCGAGCCGCGCTCCCCGAGCCGCGCTCCCCGAGCCGCGCTCCCGGAGCCGCGCTCCCCGGAGCCGCGCTCCCCGGAGCCGCGCTCCCCGGAGCCGCGCTCCCCGGAGCCGCGCTCCCCGGAGCCGCGCTCCCCGGAGCCGCGCTCCCCGGAGCCGCGCTCCCCGAGCCGCGGCGCTCCCCGAGCCGCCGCGCTCCCCGAGCCGCCGCGCTCCCCGAGCCGCGGCGCTCCCCGAGCCGCGCTCCCCGAGCCGCGCTCCCCGAGCCGCGCTCCCCGAGCCGCGCTCCCCGAGCCGCGCTCCCCGAGCCGCGCTCCCCGAGCCGCGCTCCCCGAGCCGCGCTCCGAGCCGCGCTCCGAGCCGCGCTCCCCGAGCCGCGCTCCCCGAGCCGCGCTCCCCGAGCCGCGCTCCCCGAGCCGCGCTCC